ACGCTCCAGATCCTGCTTGTTAGAAGGCCTCTTTCTTCCTTTTTTTTAAATCTTAATATTTGTGTTCTCGTCTGTATAAAACAGAGATCAATCCACAGACTTCAGGAACACACTGAGGACTCTATAAGTACAGCCCAGGGTCTTATTCTGAGTGTAAGAAAGAGGCCACAGACTGTTCTGTTAGTGCTGCAAACACAGCTCTGCACAGAGACACCCGCTGCTTCTCCTGAGCACAAACAAACGCTCATTTTAAAGTCGCACCTGAAGCTCCTTTTTTGTTTTTCTTCAGCCGGTAATGATGAACCTTTCAGTGAGCGACGGGGAGGTCTAGCTGTTCCCTTCATTGACTTTTTTTCAAGATGGCTGTGCATATGGTTTTAGTCACTAAAACCAACCGGTCATCCTCTGTGACCGCAAAGCCATCTGGTGACCACCAACCATTTGTGAATCACAGTTTATCCTTCCATTTGTGATCACATACTTCTGTTTTCAATCTGTGCACTTACATGTAGAAATTGATTTTTTTTAAAAGAACTTGGGTTTATTTTAAAAGAAGTCTTTCAAACGATGAATGGAAAAAAAAAAGTCAGGTTAAAACTAGCATGCTGTTTGTTGTCTTCTCTTCCACTCCCTCTCACTTAATCTCAGTTCAAACAGCAAGGTGAGGTCATGACCTGCTGCATATACACACATCTCTCTCTCTCTCTCTCACACACACACACACACACACACACACACACACACTCCCACACACACAGACTCGCATTAGGAAGTTAGGGCACTGGAGCTGCTCTGTAGGAGTTTGGCACTCTCACCGTCTGGGAATCTGATGTAGGGGGCATCATGCCCAGACCTCCCAGGTATCCACACACACACACATATGCATGGATGGACCGACACACACACACACACACACACACCCTCGCACACACACACACACACACACACACACACACACACACACACACACACACACACACACACACACACACACACAAGCAGCTAACAAGAAAAATACCCTCTCCAAACATTAACTGGAGAAATGCACAGGCTGTGCTAAGTAACATCCAAGGTGTCTGTGTGAGTTAATGTTTGGCCTGGTCAGTCAGCTGAGAACCGCCCCCTCCCCCCTCCTTTTTTCAGAAAGCCCCTCACATTCCCTGACACTGAGCGAGTGTCGGTGTTAAACTGCTGGACTCGGTCCCTCACGTTGACCTTTGATTAAAGGTGATGTGTCTTTGAATTCCTGAAGCGTGCGTTGGCTGGAGCACAAAAACAAAAACAGTCACCATGGCTTAAATTTGTCAGGAAGCAGAAGGTCACTGTTTTTGACACGGTTGATGAAGGAAGACAAAGCAGCCACAAATGCCTGAGTGTCCAATCAGAGGCCTTGATATGCCCCCCCCACCGTGATGTAGGCTAATGAAAAAAAGGCAGCTTCTCTTCAAACTGGGGAAACATTTTGCAGAATGAGAGTCTGATCTGGCAGTCTCTCCCTCAGAGCTCTAAACAAACCCAATAAAACTCCCTCCCTTTCTCCCCCCCCACCTCGCCTACACAAACACGGCCTCAAAGTAGCCTGAATCACAATGACTGGAGCAACAGATGGCTGTCAACTCACCCCCTCTGCCTTCCCAGCTACCATGCACCACATCCTCTGGCCCCAGCTGTCACTCTGGGCCCCCCTGGATGAGGGGGGGCTCTGACGCCAACCTCCCCCTGATCTGGGGACAGCTGCTGCTGCTGCGGGGAAGCCGGTGCAGGGGGGGGGCACAAGCTTGCACAAACTTCTCTCTGTCCTCTCCTATAGTCCATCTTTCGGTTCATCCCTCCCATCAGACTTCTCCAGTTTCCCTTTAAAACCTCCCTCTCTCTCTCTCCCTCTCTCTCTCTTCCTCTCCCCCTCTCTCTCTACTCACCATCGCTCGTCCTCCACCTGAATTCCTATGGACTGGAATTTAGACTGCTCCTCCGTCGGCTCCCCTTCCTCCGGGTCCACCTGAGAGGAGGAGGAGGAGGAGGAGAATCTGTCAAACTGCAAGAACTGCAAGAACATCAACAGAAACCCCAAAAAGCTGCTCCACAAACCTGGATCCCTATGGAGAGGCACTTGCGGAGCGCTTCCCTCTGCGCCTTGCTGTCGGCGGAGACGGAGGTCGTGGCGGTGGCCGTGATGGTGATGGTGCTGTTGGTGACGTGCTGGCTGGCGGGGCCGTGCACCTGAGCGTTGGCCGCCTCGATGGCCGCCGTCAGGGCCTTCATGCTGTCGATGCTCTCCGTGGAGTTGGACAGGCCCGGCTGCGAGCTGATGCCCGACCGCTGGCCCGAGCCGCCGTCCATGTAGGCGTCCTGGGCCGACTCGGTGCTGCTCTGCGCCGTGATGGAGATGAAGGGTTTGGACGGGGTGGTCCGCGGCGGGACCGGGGGCGGCGTTTTCTTGTAGGTGGTGATGCATGATGACACTGTAAGGAGACAGAGATAGAGACATAAGTGTGCATCAATAACAACGAGTGGAAACACTTCTCAAGAAAATATTGCATTAAAACTTGATTTGTTTTCTTTCTCCTTTGACTCTTCTTCTCTTTCTTTTAATTTAATTGTATTCTTTCATTTCATATAACTAACTTGTTTGTTTGCCCTTCCTAAAGATGTTAAATATCGTAGAGAAAGGGAAGAAAACCTTGATGGAAGGAAAAATGTATGAATTTATGTAACACAGATCCACGCTACCTCAGTTTGACTTCAAGCTACTTTAAACAATTTCTGTATTGTAAGTGTTATTTTTAGTATTTCCACATCACTGGGGGGACACGACCTTTTTGACACAACACCACTTATAAAAATGTTAAATATTGTCATCCTTATGTTGAATATAAAATATGTGTACTGCATGTTAAGATATGATGACAATAAAAAGTAATAAAAATAAAAAACACAGCATGCATGCAAAGTGAGATGAGACAGTGGATGATAAAAACAAAAAGCATGAACATGAGTTCACATGAGAGCAGAATGACTCGGTGACAGCTGACACCCCGAGGTCATACATCCCCGTGTCGCAGTGCAAAATGCACAGTAGATTAGGGCCAACTTTAACAAATCACAGCCTTGTCTGGTAATAGGATTAGCATGTCAGCCACTTGACCCACTGATCTAGATGGTTAAACCCTGCGTGCACTTACTGTACACATCCACCACAGTTAGTTTGCTGAATATAGCTCTGCATGCTCGACTATAGTTTACAACAAACTGCACAGCACTGTTACTGTAAGTGCTATGTTTGATAAGGCTGCAGGATGTAAATGATAGCTGACGCTGGAGAGCTCAGTGTACTCAGAGGGGTTGGGTTTTTAAATCAAAGCAGAGAGATGTTGTGGCACAGTAACTCTGTCCGTCTCTCAGGTTACAGCTGCAGGTTTCTGCACACAATGGAGCCTCTCACAGACACTGACTCAGAAAGCTTTGTACAGAGACATGCCAGCAGACAAAAAAAAAAACTGTAGAGAGGAAGCCAAAAACCAGCCACCTCCTACAACACCAAGCCCTTGGAATCTCTCTTCCTGCTCCCGGTGCTATCATCAAAACTAGGTCGCTCTCTCTCTCTCTCTCTCTCTCTCTCTTCGCACTGCAGCTGAGCGAGGACAGCGGGTTTCCTGGATCTCTTTAATCCCTACAGAAGACAAACATCCTACGGCGGCGGGAATCACTTGCTCTGTTGTGCAGCAGACACACCCAACCCCGAGCAGCCATGTCTGAAAACTATTAGAGCCGGATGTTGTTTTGCTTTAATAATAATAATAATAACTTTATTTATATAGCACCTTTTAAAAACAACAAGAACAAAGCAAACTAAACCAAACACAGAAGAACATAAACAACAACAAGAACATAACAAATACAAAATACTAAAAATAATTAAATACAATTCAACAGAAAAGAACCCAAAGTGCACGATACCCAACAGACATATAGAACCAGACCATCACAAGAACCATTATAAGAACCATCATAAGAACCATCACAAGAACCATCATAAGAACCATCACAAGAACCATCATAAGAAGCATCATAAGAACCATCACAAGAACCATCATAAGAACCATCACAAGAACCATCACAAGAACCATCACAAGAACCATCATAAGAACCCAGGCATCACAAGAACCATTATAAGAACAATCACAAGAACCATCACAAGAACCATCATAAGAACCATCATAAGAACCCAGGCATCACAAGAACCATTATAAGAACCATCATAAGAACCATCATAAGAACCCAGGCAACACACGAACCATCATAAGAACCATCATAAGAACCATCACGAGAACCATCACAAGAACCATCACGAGAACCATCATAAGAACCCAGGAAACACAAGAACCATCATAAGAACCATCACGAGAACCATCACAAGAACCATCACAAGAACCATCACAACAACCATCACAACAACCATCACAAGAACCATCACAAGAACCATCACAAGAACCATCACAACAACCATCATAAGAACCATCACAAGAACCATCATAAGAACCATCATAAGAACCATCACAAGAACCATCATAAGAACCATCACAATAACCATCATAAGAACCCAGGCAACACAAGAACCATCATAAGAACAATCACAAGAACCATCACGAGAACCATCACGAGAACCATCACAAGAACCATCACAAGAACCATCACAAGAACCATCATAAGAACCATCATGAGAACCATCACGAGAACCATCACAAGAACCATCATAAGAACCCAGGCAACACAAGAACCATCATGAGAACCATCACAAGAACCATCACGAGAACCATCACAAGAACCATCATAAGAACCATCACAAGAACCATCACAAGAACCATCACAAGAACCATCACAACAACCATCACAAGAACATCATAAGAACCAGGCAACACAAGAACCATCATAAGAACCATCACAAGAACCATCACGAGAACCATCACGAGAACCATCACAAGAACCATCACAACAACCATCACAAGAACCATCATAAGAACCATCACAAGAACCATCACAACAACCATCACAACAACCATCACAAGAACCATCATAAGAACCCAGGCAACACAAGAACCATCACAAGAACCATCACAAGAACCATCACGAGAACCATCACAAGAACCATCATAAGAACCATCACAAGAACCATCATAAGAACCATCATAAGAACCATCACAAGAACCATCACAACAACCATCACAACAACCATCATAAGAACCCAGGCAACACAAGAACCATCATAAGAACCATCACAAGAACCATCACGAGAACCATCACGAGAACCATCACGAGAACCATCACAAGAACCAACACAAGAACCATCACAAGAACCATCACAAGAACCATCACGAGAACCATCACGAGAACCATCACAAGAACCAACACAAGAACCATCACAAGAACCATCACGAGAACCATCACAAGAACCATCACAAGAACCATCATAAGAACCATCACAAGAACCATCACAACAACCATCACAAGAACCATCATAAGAACCCAGGCAACACAAGAACCATCATAAGAACCATCACGAGAACCATCACGAGAACCATCACAAGAACCATCACAAGAACCCAGGCAACACAAGAACCATCACAAGAACCATCATAAGAACCATCACAAGAACCATCACAAGAACCATCACAAGAACCATCACAAGAACCATCATAAGAACCATCACAACAACCATCACAAGAACCATCACAAGAACCATCATAAGAACCATCACAAGAACCATCACAAGAACCATCACAAGAACCATCATAAGAACCCAGGCAACACAAGAACCCAACAACACGATCTGAGACCAAGAGGACCAAAGATTTAAAAAGATGTAAGAAACTAAAAGAGATAAAAGAAAATAAAAAGAGAACAGCAATAAGAAGGTAAGAGCAGGAAGAGAAATAGAAACAAGTGAATAAAACAATAATATTAATGATAATAAAAAGTATATATACATATAAAACATAAATAGACAAAGTAAGTAAGATAAGAAATGACCAAGTTAAAACATAAGAGGAGTTAAGATAAGCGCATGAATAAAGCTTTGTGTCTTGCCATCTCGCTGACAGCTACAGAGAGGCCTCGACACACTGGAGGCTGACTTCATCCTTTAGGTTTGACAGAGTCATCCACCCAAACCCGTCACCCACACCTCCCACCTCCCTCTCTGTGATTGGATGATCCCTAAAAAAGATTTCAGTCAGGTTTTGGACAAGCTGGAAAGTCCTCAGACAGGATGAATGCCGCTTTGAGATTAGATCACAGTGATAAATGTTTTTTTTTTTTAATGGGAGAGAAAATAAAACAAACCACAAGAGAGACTAAAGAAGATGTATTTCCTTTTCTGCGGCTAAATTCTGAAGATTGCGTGGGGATCGCCCGCCAAAAAAGTCATCTCAGGCTGAACCGTCTGAGCTTTGAATTTCCACAGACCTGTCTGGGGAATATGATGGACATCCAGGGGCTAATCTTCCAAAAGGTCACTGAGTACAGAACCCACAAGAGAACACACACTCTCTCTCTCTCTCTCTCTCTCACAGAGGGAAAGGTTGGCTGGGACAGGTTAAATAAACACACTCGAAGTGGGAACATGCCTAAGCACACACATGTTGGTGCAGACGCAGACACAATCCAGCTCCAACATGAAGGGGGGACCACAGACTTCCTGCCCCTGATGATGATGATGATGATGATGATGTGCTCTCCGTCCGTCAGACTGAGGCTGGAGCTGCTTCATCAAAACGTTTAAAACACAGAGTGGCTGAAAAACATTCAAGGAAAGCGTCTGACCGAAAACAACTGTCCTAGATAAGACAAGAAGCCAAGTTTCCACGCATGATAAGAACAAGAGAGAGATCCTCCTGCAGCCATGAAAGCAATCAGACAGACAGCTCCTCTGCCCTGGACCTCCCACATGCAGGCACACACACACACACACACGCACACGCACACACATTCACAAAGTCAAGGACAGACAGAAGAGGGAGTATGACGCAGGAGAAGGAAGTTGGGAAAACACCGACGAGTCAATTAAACATATCAGGTTAAAAAAGAAGAAAAAAAAAGTATCTTTCATATTCTTTTATGTGAAACCTGAGCTGGAAACAACTTCCTCTCTTAATGGAAGTGTGAATTTCATCTGTGTGTTCCCTCTCAGAGGTGGGAGCGGCCTGCTGGGAGCATTGTCATCCCCCTAAAAGAGAGAAGAGTTTCTGAATGAGCAAACTGCAGTGTGGCTCTCTGCCAGAATCCCTCTTTTGACAAATGCTTCAAAAAGTTCCACGGCCGACAAGTTGGTGTGAATAGCAGTTCTACTTGGCAGAGCAACCCCCCCCCACACCACCTCTGGGCTTGATAATATCAAAGAAAGCCCTCTCCCCTTCCAGAGACAAAGCACAGTCTCCCTGCATCTCTACAGAAACAGAGCTGCACC